CAAAATAAATGTCTATACAACTACACCGGGCATTTCTAGGTGAAACAAATAAAATTAAAGAAGAAAACGACCAATACATCCTGGAGATCCATAGCTAGAGACTCATTTTTCCCACATATATTGGATAACAATCGCTTGGATCCGTCATAGTTCACTTGAATTCTTGGATCCTCCATTGATTTCACCTATGTTATCTACGAATTAGGTCCCTATTTGATTTATTAAATATCAAAAATTTTAAATATATTTTGATACAAGGTATAATTAAGATATGTCTTATAAAATATGTAATTGAAAGTGAGTTTGAGTAAAAATAATTTTTGAGAAAGGACCAAAATAGAGACTACAGTAAAAAAAATTTAACCGTAACCATTCTTTCTATGGTTTCTTGTTTATTTAAAACAAAAAGGCAACTAAAGCGATTCAAGATGCTTGAGCAAAAATTTTTAAGCAGGCTTTTACAAAATAATAAAAATAATTTCAGGGTGCAATAATCTCTTAAATAATTTTATTTAAAGACAGAACTTTATCGATAAGTAAATTTTATTAAATTTTCATCTATAAAACTCCATTTTTAATCTTAAATAATTATTTTGTTACTTGTAGACATTAATAATATTTGTTTTGTATGTTTTCATCAGTTTGTTTGTGACAAATCTAAAAAATTAAATTTATGAAAATAAGCGTTAATAATTATTAGAGTTGGAAAAATATTCTTATTGATAAAATTATTTGGAAATTAATTTTCTAAAATTAGGATTGTTACTCAAATTTCGCGCATTAAACTCGTGCATCATTTGTTTAGAGGTTAAGCCTGGTGCTCCATTTAATTTTAATTTATTTATTTCTTTTTTTTTTAACCATACATTTTTCAATAAAATTATATTACATGCAAATTCAAAACATTTCTTTCTTTTTTAACCAAAGATTCTCAAAAAAATTATTATTTAAAAATACATTTTCTTAAAACCTCGTTAAAATGGAGCTCAGACAAGGCCTAGATCAATTCTAATTTAGGTTAGCATAAAATACTAGGAACGATTAATTAAGAGACAAACATCACAACGAGAATGTGGAGAGATAATTCTTCAAATAATAGACTTTCTCAAATCATAAACTTAATTATTCAGTTGGATGAATCTTAAGAGTGTGGAATAGTATAA